TCGTGATAATGTAAAAAGTAAATATCATGATCTCCTTTCACCCAAAACGCAAAAATGACGCAAACCAAATCACGAAACCATGACGTGGTTTCTTCCTCAATATCATCTCAATATCAAACCACTTCTTTATCAAAAGACTGAGAGACCAATGACTAAAATAGGAGACTTGTTCCTCTCACGTTCTCCAAAATACCAGTGTTTTTTGTAGCCGAAGTAAACGACATAGGAAAACGCAAAAGGGGATGAAGTCACGAAATCTGTGTCATTTTAAGGAGCGGAAATGTTTGGCTTTTACCCTCAGGCCATCTAAATTGTACTGTTGCGCTGAAACACCACAATGTGACGTCAAGAATGGCGAAAATCAAATGAAATCTTTAAATGCAGTTGGCTCTGCTCCGTTGTATGATGCCATTGTTTGCATGTCAAAACCCACGTTTCTCAAACGCCACCTAATTACCAAGCGTTTTAACTTGAAAGATTCCGTGTTGGTTTTGCGTTTTACGTCAACTGATGCGACAATTGTAAACTGTGTGAGCAATATGATGGTCCCTAACAAGAAGACGTGCCAAAACGCTACTATTCCAGTAACCAAGGAAGTTGTAATTGAGATTGACTCAGTAATGCATTCTATTATTTGAGATAATCAGTTGCTAAGTATATCGTAGAAAAAACTGGAAAAAGAAAAGCTTAATTGCGCACTTAGAAGCAATAAATGCAGTATGAAAAATCACCGCCTTTTACAGTTGAAACCTCAGCCACGTGCTTGAAAAGCAAACATAATCACTTCCTCTAATTTACCTTATCTCGTAAAAGTTTCTGTGGAAAATTTTTACACATTCCCGTTTGCACCCGATAACCCGGCCCACTCAAATTCCTACCATCTTAACTCGTATTTGCTTCTATATTATATGACCTCCCACGAAAATTGAGCAATACAATCATGTAATTCCAAAAATTTCATGGTTTAAACCAAGTGGAGGCGCGAATTAATTTTGTCACATACTAGATTTTTCAACACCTTTGTAAATCCGACACACCGATAAAATAAAACGTGGGTAGATGAGCGCTTTGCGCGTACGTGGAACGCGTCCGATCAACTTTGTTCCGTTTCAGCGAAGACGTGCGTGGTACACACCAAAAGAATAACTTAGACGAGTCTCGAACTTCTCACTAGGGAACATTTTTAACCACACGGGTCGTTCTGGCTCATTTATGAATTTAACAAGGCCGTTAAGAGGCATTGTAACAGCTATTGTGGACAGGCCATAGGGCTGCCGTAACCATCACCCAAACCGTAATTGGTGATTAACAGGATTAACGATCCATTAAACGCATTTCGACATTTAAACACGCAACGAGTGTACTAGAACGTGAGCAGTTTTGCAATAGAAAGTGAATACTACCTAAGCTAGTTTTCAACTAAGAACGGCGAGAAGTGATCATTTGATGAAGCTTAGCGATATTAGCAGTAAAAAGGCAGCTGTGGCAATTGATCAGACACAACCCGAGTAAAGCGAGTAAGGAAACTTCGCGCGTAAAAATGAAGGCTGCGTGGGACACTCGATATACTGCAGACAGACAAACTGATAGACGCCTTTACCTGGCGAGTGTAATTCCATTAGCCAATAAATGACGATACTATCAACAGAAACAGCCCGCAAAACTGTATACATAATAAATCAATTACAAACATAAAAAAAAACAGTTCATAATTGAATTTACCTGGATAGGAAAGCTTTTCAGTTGGGCGTGAGGGAATCACATTAGGACCAACAGACAAAAACAAAATCGCAAAGGAAAAAGAGAGTGAAAGAAGAAAAAAAAAGAAAGAGCAAATTGCCGATACTTTGCGAGATATTTTGTGATTTGAGTGTGAACTAAGCGGCTAAGAACTTTGATTACTGCTGAGACTAAGAACAGCAGTATTGTAATAAGAGGAAAAATACTCCCACTTGAGTGCTACGTTGCTATTTTTATGCAGTAGAATGATCAAACAAGTGATTATCAGTGGTAACTAAAAGGATTCAAGAGCGCCGGAAAGGAAAAAAAGTAATCGTAAAGCCGTGCAAAATTCAACACCATAACCTTTGCCAGACGACCGTAAGACCTAAGTCTATATTGTGCGATCGTATTTAACGGTGACGCAAGTCTAATTGGGCTCTGACGGTTCGTTCACAGACTGATAATTGGGGAGAACAAGGGAACACTGTTAAATTGGCCTGGAAAGTCGTCGCTCCATCTCTTGAATTGTTGGGAGGAAAGGGGAAAAAGCGAGATGAAGAAAGAGCAATAATTGAGTAATTACAATCTCAAACGTAACAAGGACGGTTAACCTTTTAACTCCCAGATCAATTCTCCTTTCTGTCAACCATACGATTCCATCAATGTTAGTTCAGAAAATTTAATATTGGATCAACTAATTATCCCCCAATTGATATTTTTCTTTATTCTCATCACTTGTCTGGTTGATATTGTGTTGATATTGTAAGGAGAAATTCTGTCTTGGTCACTTATAGGAGTTAAAGGGTTAAGAACAACAAAAACTGAAAAGACACTTACATCACTTCTTTTCAAATCCTTTTAAGGGATAGTATCACTTCTTTTCGCAACGAGGAGAAGAAAAAACGATCACACATAGATATTCTTTTCTCACTCTTGAGCAAAATTTATTCCATTCATTGAGAAGATTCTTCCAAAAACTAGTTGCACTGAAAATATGTATACACTGTCTGTATGGGTGTTCACTTTTACTCCATATAAGGTCATAGTCCGACGATTGTTTCGTGTCCGCACATACAGTCATACTATTTCACGGTATCAGAAAGGTCATAATATTAATATAATAAAAAAAATGCACGCGCGGGTGGTATATTTCGTGATCTTCTTTCAAAATTACTGCCACAGACTGCGGAAATTGTGGACACTACGTTAACTCCTTTTAATAATTTTGAGTATAAAAATAACTTCTCTTAAAAAAAAAATTTTAAAAAAAAAAAAAAAAAAAACATAAAAGAGCAGAAGTTCTCGTCTCATCGATCATTCTAATTTTGTTCCAAAATTTACGGAAATGTGTCGTACCAAATTGCACTGTTTCACAAGAGTCTAGGGATTTTCATGAAACTTTTCGCTTTTCCTTCCCTCCTGGTTCTCTTTGTTCTTGCCATACAAGACAAAAAAAATTAATCAAAATACTACCTGCAAGTAAGTGGTTGACTGCACTTCCGATATTTTAGTATATGGAACACTTAAGTAAATATCAATCATCCTTCTTTCAAGGGTAATACTTTATAATCCAAATGTGCCAGGCTGGAAAAACCAAAAAAGAAAAAAAAAAAGGGAAAACAACACTAGCGTGAGGTAACTAGATTAGCTTATGAATATTTTAAAAATAGAGTGCAAGCTTACAAACTAATTCAATTTGTTTCTGATTTGTTTCTGATTTGTTTCTGATTTGTTTCGAATTTTGTTCACAATTAAACTGAGGAACAGTGTTTTAATTCATCAATGGATTGTGCCAAAGCTGATATGCATGTAGATGTAAGCTTTCCGTGTAAGAGTTCCGTAGTAGGTAACATTGGATTCCAAGTGTTGTTTATGTATGTATACGCGGTCATACTATTTTAAGATCTACAAAACGTGATGGCATAATTTAAAAAAAAGATACGAGAGATAGATTTCTTAATATGCTTTCAAAAGTACTCTTGACCTCGAGTGCTGATGCTGCAGGCAATGTTTTTTTAGCCCTTTACCTCCCAACATGAGAATCTTAAACTTCTCCTCCAGCTGCTACATATTTCCTTATAAATTAGTTGCGCTAATTTTGTGTTAGATCAAGATAACAACTTCTTCCAGATAAGTTTGAGTTTTGTCATTACCTATTTTCTGGATTGTGTACGGATATAATGAGGAAAAGTGATAGGGTTAAGATTGGGACATGATTTAGTAATAGTGAGGCCAGTGAGAAAAGACATTTCTAATGATAAATGTAAAAAAATATAAATTTATCTCTTCATTCCCAAGATCTAAATATCAATTCTCTACACTGTCTGTTACCCATTTCACATAATTTTAGCTGTAAGAATTTGTTGTTCAATCAAGAAATATCACTCTATTCATGTATTTCTATCTTCTCACCACATTTCTACTAGAAAAAGTATTGGCTCTCTAAGGAGAAATTCCTTTTTTAGTCACTAATGAGAGTAAAAGGGTTAACCCTTTAACTCCCAAGATCTGATTGCTAACTCCCCCCTCTAGCTGCTGCACTTTTCCTTGTAAATTAGTTACAAGAATTTGGCATTAGATCAGAATACAAACTTCTACCTAATATGTTTGAATATTATAGGGAGAAGTTTCATGGTAATCACTTCTGGGAGTGAAACAGTTAAGGGTAGGAATGGTGCAGTGGTTAGAGAAACTTTCTTACAGTGCATTTCCTGAGTTGTTTACAAGACACATCATGGCACCAAAGGTTGAACAGTCAACAAAGAACATCTCTTTGCACATGTTACAGCCAAATCCAATTTATTTTTTATCATTTTGAATAATGGGTGTTTGTGGAAGGTCATATCTGGTTTGCACAAGGACACTCAGATAAATACTTGGTGATTTAAGCAGGAATGTTGCCTAGGAGAACCATCTTACATGAGAGAAAACTGCACAAGCTAAGAAGTGATTAATGATCTGTACAGAGCCTTGTCACCATTACATACGGGAATTTTCATCCAACAGGGAGAGCCAATCTACTATCAGTTTTAAGTTGCCTCTATTAATTCAATTTTACTTGTTGACAGGAATTTGTTGTGTTAAGCCATACATGCATATACTGCTCATCCATAAGTTGTAAGATCTCCTGACTAGCAAAATCGAAGCAGAACATAAATGAACCCTTTAAATTATTTATGTAACTATTAAAAAAGATAATTGCTGGTAATAATGCACTCTTTAACCTGAGTGCACATGTATAACAAAATGAAGTTGTAATTCAATGCAGTTTTGTTACCAAATTCATGTCTATCAATAAAACAAAGAAGTTTATTCTTAGCGTAAAATAAATTTTCATTTTGCAGTAATCTCAAAATTACCAACTGCTAGCAAATTAATGAATGATTTCATTTACATAGTAATTTGCATACTCAGCATATTTGTATAGTCACTATATATTATGTGTAAAATCAACTGATTGGAGGTGCAAAGTACATGTGATAAACATGATAAACATTTCTAACACCCATTTCAATTATCTTCCCCTTTTGCAAGTAATGCTCTTTATGTACAAGTGTGTACAGGTGCGTAAAGTGAAAATGTGGTAAGACTTTTACTTCACTTCAAATGGCAATTTACAATATATATCATTCACTTAAACTGCGTAGTATGACAAAAATCAGAGGAATATTCAAGATAGTAGTTGCATGCACAGGGAGAAGTTGTTCAAATTTTCAATACTAACCAAAATACTAACCTATTGGTAATAACAAGAGGAAAACATTTCAATGGAAGTGGAATATAAACCACAGTCTATAGGATAACCAGAGCATAAATTTATATCAGATAAAAATAAGACAAAGTCTCAAAAGCTACTCACTCAGCATCTCCAGTTAGAAAACTTTTGGTATAGATCACACAGCTTCCTTTGATGGTGATATCTTCATGTATTTTTTGTCTTGGATATTACAGTTTGTGCCCTGTAGAACAAGCACATACAAAAATGTTACACTGATGATCATGTGGAAAAAGAAGAGTTTCACATCCTGGTGCCACAGGTCTACATGTATACCTTACTACTATATCCACTGATTTCAAACTTCACCATAGACTGCCTATGACTGTACATTGTCTCAGTTTTCTTTGGGTGTTGGGCCAAATTAGAGAAAATCACACAAAAGCAGGACAAGTCAACCAACTCAAATATGCGTAAACAGGATAGCTCTGAGCCAGCTTTGTGCACTTTGCCACTGTTATTGTGCGTGTTGCCACTTTATCATGCACTCTGCTGCTGTTATTGTGCAAATCACAGTTGGCTTCCTCTCCCAGTGCTCAAAAATAAACAAGTCATTCTTGACTCTTATTAAAGCAAAATATTTTTGCTATGGAGTAAATCCTTTTTTTTCCAGGGGGAGGAGTGTTTTTAAGACCTCCACTTCACCTCAGTCCCTATAAACACAAAAAAAAACATGGCCAATATCCAGCCATCTTGACCTCACCCTTGTTCGATAATTTATAAATCTAACACCACCATATTCACATGCAACGAAAGTCAACAGTCAACATTTATGGGTGACTGTACCCTTTAATTCTCTGCTGTCAAAGATTTTATAATGTTGTCCAATCACAGACTTTTGAGTTCAAACAATTTCTTTGTTAGAGATGTCACGTGATTCCAAGGTAACCAATGAGAGCATGCCCTGTTGGGAAAAAATTTAAGCTATATACATGTAGAGTCACAATTTCATATCTACAACCAATCAGTAGCTTGCCAATAACAAAATAGAGTTCATTAAAAAACTACCCTCTGAAGTTGTCATTGTAATGTTTTCAACAGTACACCCAACTAAAAATACCACTTTCCTTTTCAAAGATAACTTCCAGTTTACATGAATTAGCAATTATTGGAGTACAAGTAACCTATTCTGGACTTAAAAATCCTGATTATTGTCTCATCTCAAACCAAATATTTCAAGTCCCCCCTGGCTATTAATTGGACACTATTATCAACTGAGCTATGAGGAACCATATTGAGAAAGAAGCAAATTTGAGAGCATTCTCTGGTCACAAATAATAAATGAAAAATAAAATGTTTTTACCTGTAAATGAAAACAAGCTACAAACTGATTCTTAGAAAGGTAATCAAAGAAATTACAGAAATAAATGTCACCATACATCAAAGTATCTCTTGGAATTGGTCTTAACCCTTTGACTCCCACAAGTAACCAAAACAGAACTTCTCCTCACAATATTGCCACAAAATCAAGCTAAAAAGTGATGAAATAAAAGAAAAATTTCAAGAAGGGGATTATTAGTTGATCTAATACCTAGTTCTCTAAACTAACATCATAAGAAAAAATGACAGTCAGTGAGGAGAATTACTAAAAAGATCTTGGGAGTGAAAGGGTTCAAAGTGGTCTTACAGGTGGACATGTATATATACCCATTACCAGTCTATCAATTAACTGAATCCCACCTGTGTTTGTCAATGGAGCCCATTCCTCCTGTTCTCAACTCTCACTGTTTTTCTCTGCCCAGATCTTGTTTCTCATTGCCACCCATGGATTGACATCAGCTCTAAGTACAGAAGGAAGTTTGAGAGAAACTGTGGTGGCTCCAAACTGTCTGGCTGTTACACACATATGTCCAGCAGCCTTCACCATCCATTCAGTGGTTAGCATCAGGGAAGCCAAACCATTTTCATTGGAGATGTTCTCTTCATAGTCTTCCAGAACACTAATTAAATCTCCATTCTTCATTTTGAGTTGTAGTTTCCTCTCCTCCCATGGCTCTGGAGACAGCGAAACTTGGATATGCTCTATCTCTGAAAGAGGTACATCTTCATGCAAATGCATATGTTCATCAAAGATTCTAAAGCACTCTCCTTCTACACTTGAATGTTGAAATTGACAGCAAAATCCAGAGGTCGAGAAGATAGAAAACGAAGGTTTACAAGCAAATCCAAATTTCCAGGGAGAGTCTTGCACGCTGTCTAACTCGCCAGAATGAACGGAACCCACCTCTGACAAAGAGTTCAGTTTCTTCTCCAGTTTATCAACTTCACCGCGAGGAAGGGAGGTATCGTGAAGGACAATCGGTAGCTCTAAGTTTCCATTTTCTCCAAGAGATATTACAACTATTCTTTCGTTGGTCTCATGATCGTAGTATTGCCCTGTTCCTACAAACACGCTAGTGGTTTTCCTTGGGAGTTTGTCATTGGCAATCGAGGCCAGTGATTCCTTGACTTTCTCTAAAGTTTCTGAAAGAGGATACGAAAAATTTGATGTAGATCTGTTTCTTCTTGAATTAAGAAATAACTTCTTTGTAATAAACGGCACGTTTTTCGAAAACTGTCGAGGTGTCAAGACGATTTTGGTGTACGAAGGAAAAACAAATTTTGCCGCCATGATGGAAATGCTGTTGCTTGCTAAGGCTAATGGGATTTCATGGGAAACCGCTGGATTAGGACACTCAAGTTTTTGAACTGAGTTAGGAAATATTGACAAAATTATGCTAGATTCTGTAGAAAGACACCTTGCATTGAAGGATTTGTAGATATGAGTAAAATGTTACACAAGTTTCGCGGAACACTTGTTGGTGCCTTGGTTGGTGACTGCCTTGGATCAAACTATGAAGGCGTCTCCAGCACTTTACCATGGGGAGAAGTTACCGATTACACTTTGGAAAGAATCAAAGACGAGAAGGAACCGATCCATTACACGGATGATACAGCGATGACTCGAGCGATCTGCAAGTCGTTAACTGAGGAAAAGAAGTACGATAACCGCAGCATGGCAAAAGCGTTTGTTCAGGAATTCTTCAAAGAGCCTGATCGTGGCTATGGTGCTGCTGTCGGGACAGTCTTTAAGCGTTTGCGGGATACGAATCCCGAAGATGTTACACTTCCGGCTCGCTCTCAATTTGATGGACAAGGTTCCTATGGAAACGGTGCAGCCATGAGGATCTCCCCTGTGGCTCTTTATAGTCGAAGTTCATCAGAAGTTCAAAAGGTGAGGAATGGTTTAGGCGAGATCCAGATTTGTTTTAAGACAAGCCCCTCGTTGGTGGAGTCCCGGAAAACATCACCCAATATCAACTGGTCCCAATGGATACTGCAGTTGCCTTAATGCTAACAATTACTGTAGAATTATGGTTACTGGCCCCCCACTCATAAGAAGCTGCTTGCCCCCCCCCCCTCCCCCCAGCGCATCAGTGTTGGTAAAGAACAAATTTATTCCAATATTATTTTAAACTTTCTTACTATGCACCTACCAATGGTTTGCTTCAGGATGGAGTGACTTTCATGGGGTTGCTGTCAGATGACTTCAAAGATGTTGGATGACTTGCCTGGTCTTCAAGATGGTGGCCAGGTCAAACTCCTGACCCTGAGGCAGTGCCTAAATGTCAAAATCCCAACCCAAGAGGATGGGGGGAGGTTTCCATGGGTAGCATGGAACATACACAAAAGGATTTTACTTGTAACAGATGGACTGAAATAGACCCCATGGAGAATTAATCTAACTTGTTTGATAACCAATAATCTTCCTACTGAAGTTTTACATTAAATGGGATTTAATGGGATTTGCTGCATAGCAATTATCAGTCTGTTGGTGTAAGTCCAATCCTTGAACAACCAGCACAGACATCACCTGGGTTACTTTATCGCATGCCTGCTCAAATATTGGTCTTGGTTTGCATGCCATTTTCATTTTAGCCACACTTAATGTTTTTTATTTGTAAATAAGTCCAAAGAAGGAATAAGTCTATGAAGACTTAACATCTTTTAAATTTTATCTTTGTTTTGACAGAATGCTCAAAAGAATGCACTCATCACACATGCACACATTAATGGAGTCAATGGAGCAGTCTTGCAAGCAGAGGCAGTGTTCAAAGCTCTTCCCCTTGAACCACCAAACTTAAACACAGACAAATTTATTGATGACCTCCTTGAAGTGGCCAAAAAGCTTGAGGAAGAGTATGAAGAATCTAGTAAAGAAAACGAAGATAGGTAATGTAATAATGAGCAAAGTTTTTATTTCAACTCAGTACTTTTATGGATTTAATTTTTAAAAGGGATCTAGTAGATGACAGTTGATATTTGATAGTTTCTACTATAAATAATTCCAATGACAAAATTATCAGGATGTTAGTCATTGATATTAATATTGATACTGACGATGTGCATTTTAATTTATTAATACATACATTGGTAATTTATGGTTTTCAAATAGGTTGGGAAATCATTTTTGTGTGCCCTGTTCTACATTGAACAAGAAATAGTGTTTTATCAATGTTATGATAAATGTAGACAATCAAATGATCTGAATTACAATTTGGAGCAGATTTTGTATTTTCAAAGCCAGCAAGCATGTACATGTTGGGAGATCACAATTCATAGTTTCTAAAACATTGATGACTGCTTTCTGCATTGAAATTATTTGAATACTGAAAACTAAAAGATATTAAATTAAACTTTATGCACACATTGGAAACTTTTTAGGATCAAATAAACTTACTCTGAGCCAATAAGAATGTTGAAATTGTTGCTGGGGGTACAGGGTCATCCTTGTGTGTTGGTAGCCCACATAATAAGAAAATTGTATGTGTAATGGTATGCCTGAGTAGTATTCTTTTATTATTTATCTATTCATTTGTTTCCTCTTTATTTGTTTTTTTTCTTCTCTTAGTGGCCACATTTCAACTTCTTCACCTCAAAAGAAACCTTTTTCTTATTTCAAGAAATTAAAAGAAATGAAAGAACTGTTAAATAAAGGTGAAACACTGGAACCTGAGACAGTGGTGGAAACATTTGGAAATGGGATAAGAGCTGAGGAAGCAGTTCCCGCTGCAATATTTTCATTTCTTCACAAGGGACGAGAGTCATTTCAAGAATCAGTTAACTATGCCATCTCTTTGGGGGGTGATACAGACACAATTGCTAGCATGGCAGGAGCAATCAGTGGAGCTTACTGGGGAGTAAATGAGATTCCTGAACTGTGGAAGAGCAAATGTGAAGGTGTAGAGGAGGCCATAGAATTTGCAAACAAAATATTTGAACTAAAAGAAGAAAGAAAAGATGATGAGTGATTGAAAATGACTTTTGAGCAGTGTATTACTGTTAATTATAATGCCTCAAAAGCAAGTGAGGTCTCATGTTCAGAATACAAATGTCATCAAATAATGGATTTTCTTGATGTGTTATTAGACTATAACTTTTGAAAAGATTATTTTCTTTCATCTGAGTATGAGTTATATGCTGGTGATCTCTCAGGCTAGTTGGTATATCTGATCTGAGTACTTGACTTGTATATGTCTTTGTCAAGGGGTAATTTTTTAAAGGGGTATTAGCTCAAAACCTTTAACCCAGCGACACAAGTCCCTTATTTCTGAGCCAAGGGATTTGTCTGTTAGACATAAAAAAACCCATCATTTTAGCAAAGGCCCAAGAAAATTTATCAATTGATTGAGTTTCTTTTTCCCAGTATACTTTATGGTACTATAGGCTAAAGAGACACTTAAGTCCATCTTTCAGCCCACTTAGGGTGTTCCAGTTCCTTTCCTCTGGACCTTTAATTTGACATTTAGTTAATCAACCCCAAATCAAACTTTACTATAGCTGTAATATGAAAAAGTAACTCTCAAGTGCTTGACATTCCCAAGATGTACATAGGGTGAGGAACCCTCCCATAAAAAAAAATAAAACTAAGGGCACATTTTAAAACATTTTGAAAAGAGGGAACCCTTTGCATAATATGGTACAGTTTTGGAAATGTGTGCAAGATTTTCCTGGATTTTTAAAAGGAGTGGGCATTCTATGAAAAAGAAAAAGAAACTGAGTCATTACTGATGCTAATTTTTAGAGGGTTTATACTGAAAGCTGAAAGCTCACCTTTTTTTCATCCAATCAGAAGATGCTTTATTATTTGAATTGAATCTCAACCCTGGTTGGTCTTGAAGTTTTTGTTTGACCTGGAAATATTTTACCTAATTAAAATTTTTTTTCTTGAAGAGTTGCATCCTATTCAGCAAGTTTATAATAATTTTAAACCAACAACTGTTCAGTTGCGAACCGCAGAAAAGATAAAAAAGAGCTGTTTGTGTGCCACTTTATTCTTCAGTGACCAGATCAGTGATCTATTTGACAAATAGATTCTGTTTTGCTGTGTGTCTATGATGTTATAGATCACAAATGATATTAAAGAAGGCAAGAATAGAGAAGTGGCACACATGCTGAAGGAATAGAATAGCAAACTGTGCATTTTAGCATGGTGCAAAGGGTTGCATCATATTATTGTTCTAGTTACTAAGAAAATTTTTTTTTGCAGCTCCTAAACGGCTCCTGCTTAACTTTCTTTTATGGTCTTCACTTGGTTAATCCAGAGGGAAAATAGATCTAACATCCACAACTTTGTATACCTTTGTAGATAGAAAAAATAAAAAAGAAATTCACTAACATCAATTGTGTATCTTTTCTCTGGTGGATGAAAACAAACAATCACATCAGAAGAATGTGTAGAGTTAAGTTGCCTGAATATAATCAACACATGGAATAGGAACTTAGTCAAAGATATATCTCATACACATTGGAAAATACAGAAAAATTTTCTCGATTCCTAATTTTAGTCATATCGTCATTTTCCTGCAACATCTGTCTTTAAACATTTTGTTATGTTCTTTTATTCAATCTTTGTGAAAGCATTCCATCAATAAGAAAGGTTAGACTTTGTACCACTTTCCTTATTCTCTCTTTTTTGATTAAATTACCCCCACTTTAACGATAGAAGTTTCACTAAATTTACTTCTCCATCCTTGTTCAGTTGTTAATTATATAATAAGCTCAGTTATGCTCGCATTCTGATTAGTTCTCACTTATGATCTATTTAACAAATGGATTCCAAATTGCCGTGCGTCTGTTAAGTAATAGATCACAGATGACGTCAAAATGTGGTAAGAACAAAAAAGTGGCACACGAGGCGCAGCAGAATGTGTCACTGATTATATAATTAACAACTGAACAAGGATGGAGAAGTAAATTTAGTGAAACTTGACGTCCTCTGTAATCTATTACTGAACAGACGCACGGCAACTTGGAATCTATTTGTTTTATATAGTAAAGAATTAAAAAAAGTTTTAACGATGACGTCATCTATGCGTCTGTCCTCCAGTAGATTATAAGTGAGAACCAATCAGAATGCGTGCATAACTGAGCTTATTATATAATGGAGGACAGACGTATAGATGACGTCATCATTAAAACTTTTTTTTAATTCTTTATTTACTTCTCCATCCTTGTTCAGTTGCTGCGCCTTGTGTGCCACTTTTTTGTTCTTACCACATTTTGACGTCATCTGTGACCTATTACTGAACAGACACATGGCAACTTGGAATCTATTTGTTAATCAGACATGCAATTCGACACGACCTGACTCCCGACCTGTTAACTGTATTTCCCGCGTTTTATACTTGCCTTTCGCCATTTTCCCGCCAATTTCATTTACGAGACGCAGAGAGCCTGGGACTAAGTGCATTTCAACATGGCGACTGGTAAGAATTGAGTTTAGCTGAGGTAAAAGACGTATTTTAAGATAAACTACCCACGACCACTTCGTTTTTTATATCATCGACCTTTTAGAACAACTTTTCCTTCGTTTCATCACAAAAATGGGGGGCAAGGGGTTACAAATGCAGCAAAACATTAAGAAGGTGGCCGTGCTGTACACTGGCAACTTTGTGCAGGTTTGTCTCTTAAACTATTTCCTAAATGATCTTGTACGTAATCAGTTAACTCGGTAGAGTCTCACTGTTATCTGACTGTTTTTGTGGGTCTCTTTGTGCCGTAAACATCACTCCAGCGGGAAATTTAAACCTTTGCGGTCACGGGCACGTTGTTTTGAATATGAATGAACAAAGTTTGCAGTATCGTATCAAATAATCCCTAAGGTTAGACTGTTAGGAAATGACAAAAATTTATGTGTGGCTCAAAGTCTGTCCTAAATTTTGTGATTTACGCTGCAATCAATTCAGGCCCTAATCCTCGCTGGAACTGGTAATTTATTTCTAAACTTGTAAAAATATACAAATCAGCAACAAAGTTACAAACTTGACATGAATAACCTTAGAAATCATGCAGCAAGGTCATACATGACATGATTACCAGTGACTTTTAGTGTCCTTGACATGATTATTGTATAATCTGCAGTTAGATTATATCTTAGGCACTGATTTCGAAAATTCACTGTACACTTTCAGCCTATCACAAAAGAGATAGTGAGTGGAATGTATAATAATCTTAACAGTTTGACATATTAGATACATAGTTTTAACCAATTTCATCTTTATTTTCAAAAGGACAATACAATTGTGGGGGATTTGTGGGTCAACTCTTGACAGGTTGGAGTGAGGACAATTCATTCTTAAAGTGATGAATTTTGGACCCCAAAAAGTAACTAGCACACAATATTTCCTTACAGTTTCATCCAGGAAGGTCACAAGAATGAAGAAAATGATCACCAACCACCAAAGCTCTTGATTGTTAAACAAATTCTCCTTTTCAGCTCCTTAGGAAAAGTATAAAGAACAGTGTGGGAAACATTTATACTGATGTTTTTGTAAAGGGTTAAAAGCAATATTGATGGCTGAAATTGTTAGACTCTTTCGTTTATGACAGTTATAGTGAGCCATTGTTTCAAGAAACACCACACATACACCTTCATCCTAACAAAGTAACAAATAGTCTGCATATCACAAATTGAAATATTTTGGGACATTCCTTCCTTTGGATTCCTCTTCCCCTCTGGAAGATAGTATTGAATTGTTGTTGGTACCTTAAAAGTTTGCATCCAAGGGGTTCAAAATTTTGGTGCACTTCAAGGAAAGACCATTTGCAATAACATCTTTTGAACCAAGTGATGTTCATTAAGTTTGAATACGTCGCTACAACGGTAAAGTGTAACCAATAATAGAAACAAGGTACGCAATAATCCTCACAGGAGAGATGGAGTTGCAGAAACGAAGCCTGAAAAAAAGAATTGATGGAATTCAATTGTTTCGTTAGCATCTCGCGCACTCTTAGGTCTCTTTCTCATGCGATTGTTTCATTAGCATCTTGTGCACACTAAGGGTTACTCGCTTCTTTCGTTAGTATCTCGCGCACACTAAGGATTACAGTTCATTCGGCTGTTTTGTTAGTATCATGCGCACATATAGAATAACGTTTCATTCGATTGTTTCGTTATTATCACACACGCTCTTAGGATTAAATTTCATTCAATTATTTCGTTAGTATCTTGCTTACACTTAGGATTGCTTCGTTAATATCTCGCGCGAACCGAGGATTACATTTCATTTTATTGTTTTGTTAATATCTTGCGCGCACTAGGTTTACATTTCATTTGCTCTTTTCCATAGTATCTTGCGCTTACTTACGACAACCTTTCATACGATTTTTTTCGACACTTAGTCACGCTCTCTTAGGATTCTCTTTGTTTCGATTGAATCATTTTCATTCTCATTTCATTCGTTAGTGACTCGCACGCTCTAAGAGTCTCTTTTATTTCTTTAATTCGTTAGTATATAACGCACACCTAAGATTACATTTCATTCAATTTTTTCGTTAGTATTTCGCGCACACTGAGGATTAGATTTCTTTCGTTTGTTTCGTGTGTGCATCGCGCAAACTTAGGATTACCTTTCATTTCATTGTTTAGTTAGTATCTCGTGTAGACTTAGCATTATCTTAGTATCTCACACACAGTTAGGATTACATCTGATTCGGTTGTTTCGTCGGTATCTTATGTACACTTAGGATTACACTTCATTTAATTGTTTTCTTAGTATTTTCGCACAGTTAGGATTACATTTCGTTCTCTTGTTCTGTTAGTTTCTGGGGCACAACAAGGATTACATTTCATTCGATGTTTTTATATTTTTGCGCACACATAAAATTACATTTCATTCGCTTATGTCTTTAGTACCTCGGGCACACCTAGAATTACATTTCATTCCCATGTTTCGTTAGTATCTAGCCCATACTTAGGATTATCTTCAGTGGATGGCTTTGCGCGAGCTGAAGATTACATTTCATTCGATTGTTTCTTTAGTATATCGCGCACACTTAGAATTACATTTCATTCTCTTATTTTGTTAGTATCTTTCCCAGACTTGTTTCGTTAACATTTCGCGCGAACTGGGGATTATCTCTCATTCAATTGTTTTGTTAGGATCTTGCGCACACTTAGAATAACATTTTACTAGATCGTTTCCGTATTACCTCGCGCGCTCTCAGGATTCTCTTTTGGCTGTATCATTAGTTTCTTGCGCATTCTACGTATTTTCTTTCATTCGACTGACTCGTTAGTATCTCTCTCACTCTCAAATTCTCTTTTATTCCTTTGGTTCGCTAGTATATTGCGCACACAAACGATTAAATTTCATTCGGTTGTTTCGTTACTATCGTGCGTGCGATAACGAAAACATTTCTTCCGATTTTTTCTTTAGTGTCTTGGGTACGCAAAGGATTAAATTTCATTCGATTCTTCCTGAAGTATGTACCGCACGCTATTAATTATATTTCATTTATTATTTAAGTATAAAGTTGTAGGCTAAGGATTACCTTTCATTTGTCCTTTCTTTAGTATCTATATATCCTTGGTATGTAGCACACGCTAAGGATTACATTCCATTCGATTGTTTTGTTAGTATCCAGCGAACGCTAAGGTTTACATTTTATTTGATTACTTCATTAGTATCCAGCGCACGCTAAAGATTACATTTTATTCGATTATTTCATTAGTACCCAACGCACGCTAATGATTACATTTCATTCGATTATTTCATTACTATCTGGCACCGGCACGCTAAGGATAACATTTTATTCGATTATTTTGTTACTATCCAGCGCACGCTAAGGATTACACTTATTCGATTGTTTCATTAGTATCCAGCGCGCGCTAAGGATTAAATTTCATTCAATTGTTTTGTTAGTATCTAGTGCACGCTAAGGATTACATTTTATTGGATTGTTTTGTTAGTATCCAGCGCACGCTAAGGATTACATGTTATTGGATTGTTTTTTTTGTATCCAGCGCACGCTAAGGATTACGGTTTATTCGATTGTTTTGTTAGTATCCAGCACACGCTAAGGACATAGAGAATATTACATGGCCGCGCGTGGATACGAATTTTATCTTCTCGTGCTGAAAGTATCTCACGACTGAGCTTTGCTCACTCGTGAGAGATACTATCAGCACGAGAAGATAAAATTCGTATCCTCAAGCGGCCATGTAATGTTCTATTTATTATATAGGTACTGATGAAATTCCAACATAAAAGACAACTTTTTTTTTTGTGTGTTTGCATCTTCTTCCCGTTTGATGAATTTTTCAAAAGTAACGATGTGAAAATTTGGCAGTTCATCGAGAAAGT